AGATCTGGTTAGTTTTAATTAAATTTATTATGAGAATTTTATTCGGATGTATTCTGAAGCTATTCTTGAAAAAATACAGTAATCTATCATACTACTTTTTTGGGGGCAGAGTCTAATTTTCTAGATTGTAAGAGTCTAAGATGTACTTAAACTATACATATTACTGAGTACTTTTGGCGATCTGTTGAGCATGAAGGTGGAGTTGAACATGAGTTAATAATTTACATGTGCTTCTGTAGTTTGGTACTAAAATTAATCAGCATCTTCCTCTCTCTTAAATGTTGAGCAAGTAACCCTGAGAGACTGTGAACCACAGTAAGCTGTAAATTAGACCATTTAAAATTTCTAAAGTAGACCTAAGCTTTTGTAAACCTACCTAAACTGATTTTAAAAAAAATCATCCTTTTGTCTATAAATAATACATAACTGTATGTCTAAAACCCTACATACATAAGTGTATGTATAAAACCTTACATTTTGGAAACAAAACAATTCTGGGCGATGCTATAATCTTCTGAAAAAGAACAACGTGAAAAAAAAGTTTCATGTGATATTTGATTTTCCGAGACGAGAATGGTCTCTCAATGTTACTTGGTCGATATCCCACTGCTGGACGTCTGTGGGGGTATTTGATGCATATTTTGTATGGCATGTGTAATACACTCCCGCCCCATCGGGAAATATCTTGGCCACTATAGTGTTCAGGTTAAACAAATAGAAAAATTAACACCTTCTTATTACCTGTCTTAATTATTTTCCTGAGTGTAACCCATTTTGGAAGTTCTTCTGTTTTACCTTTCCAGCTCTTCGTCACCTGTCTTTCAATACATTATCTTCTTTTTTTTGCATACTCTGTCTTTCTGTGGGTCTGATCCCTCTTTCAATGACATGACGTGACCGATCCGTGTCAGGTACGTGGCTGCCAACTCTGGACGCTCCAGTTTCACTCTGATTATTCCGAGTGGTGAGTGCGGATCGTCGACCTCAGAGTTCAGCAGGTCTGAAGCCAAGAGCAGCGAGTACAGCACACGCATGACCAACACCATCATCATCCAGAACGATCCTGCCGTGCAGGAAGTGTGGGACGTCGCTCGTACTATTAAGTGTGACTGGGTGGACAACTTCGTCAAGACTGTAGCTTTTAATCCTTTCTCTGTCGGAATGCTCGATGCCCAAGAGGTCCGTTTCGAAGGCGACCAGGCCATCGAGTGCTGGATGGACCTAAAACAGGGACGATGGCCCGACACCAACGACATTGACTCAATAGTTAAGATCGGCGAGACACTCTCACTTCTAGTCTACGCTCGGGACAACGCTGGCATGTATGACGTGAGCGCTAAGGACTGCTACGCGTACGGAGGTCCTGACTATGACGACGTAAACACACCGCGCATCCAGCTGACGGACCAACAGGGTTGTGTACTGAAGGACAAACTCATCAGCCCCTTCTACACCACCCGCCAGAAGGACAACCGAGGGGAAGTTATTGTCACCTATGCTTTCATACAGGCCTTTAAGTTTCCTGACGTAATAGATGTATATATGTCTTGTAATGTGGAGATTTGCAAAGGAGATTGTGATAACGTATGCGGGTCCACGACCACAGAGGGTCCCTTACGCTTTGGTAGTACATTATTTGGCGAGGCAATTACCACTCTTCCACCAACCACAACACCCTTGTGTTACCCGGGTTCCACAGACCCGAGGTGCGCTGCGCCGACCATTCCCTCGCCTACTGTCCCCACAATTTCAGAATGTATTCCTGGATCAACAGATCCTGACTGCCAATTACGTTTTGCCTCACAGAGTCACCCTTCAGAATTCGTGTGCGATAATGAAAGCAAAGATCCTCGCTGCTTAGACACTTTAACTTCCATTCCCAGCACAGGCAAGGAGCTCGTAGCTCGTCCACCTCCTCAACAGGTATTTGTAACTAGCAAACTACCAACAGCCATCACCACCCCTGCTCCACCCCCAACAGTTCCACCCTTCAAATGTACACCTGGATTAATAGATCCTCGTTGTCCTCAACCCACTACCACGGTCCCATCACGCTGCTTCCCAGGCTCTACCGACCCACAGTGTTCCCAGCCCACAACCCAAGCCCAGCCTCCATGTTACCCAGGGTCTCCGGACCCACACTGCCCACAGACTAAGACTCCGGTCCCAACCCAATGTTTCCCCGGATCTACTGATCCAAATTGTCCTGAATCTACAACCACAGCTGGCCCTCGCTGCCTTCCAGGCTCCGCTGACCCAAGATGTCCACAGATATCTAGTCCCACACCTCTTGAATGTATTCCTGGCTCTACTGACCCAAGATGTCCACAGATATCTAGTCCCACACCTCTTGAATGTATTCCTGGCTCTACTGACCCAAAGTGTCTTCAAACCACCAGCTCCAGTCCACCTCGGTGCATACCTGGTTCCACTGACCCCAGATGTCCTAAACCCATTACTCGAGCTCCTCCTCCCTGCTTCCCAGGTTCCACTGACCCCAGATGTCCTAAACCCACTACTCCAGCTCCTCCTCCCTGCTTCCCAGGTTCCAAAGACCCAAGGTGTCCTAAACCCACTACTCCAGCTCCTCCGCCCTGCTTCCCAGGTTCCACTGACCCAAGATGTCCTAAACCCATTACTCGAGCTCCACCTCCCTGCTTCCCAGGTTCCAAAGACCCAAGGTGTCCTAAACCCACTACTCCAGCTCCTCCCTGCTTCCCAGGTTCCACTGACCCAAGATGTCCTAAACCCATTACTCGAGCTCCTCCTCCCTGCTTCCCAGGTTCCACTGACCCAAGATGTCCTAAACCCACTACTCCAGCTCCTCCTCCCTGCTTCCCAGGTTCCACTGACCCAAGATGTCCTAAACCCATTACTCGAGCTCCTCCTCCCTGCTTCCCAGGTTCCACTGACCCAAGATGTCCTAAACCCACTACTCCAGCTCCTCCTCCCTGCTTCCCAGGTTCCACTGACCCAAGATGTCCTAAACCCATTACTCGAGCTCCTCCTCCCTGCTTCCCAGGTTCCACTGACCCCAGATGTCCTAAACCCACTACTCCAGCTCCTCCGCCCTGCTTCCCAGGTTCCACTGACCCAAGATGTCCTAAACCCATTACTCGAGCTCCACCTCCCTGCTTCCCAGGTTCCAAAGACCCAAGGTGTCCTAAACCCACTACTCCAGCTCCTCCGCCCTGCTTCCCAGGTTCCACTGACCCAAGATGTCCTAAACCCATTACTCGAGCTCCACCTCCCTGCTTCCCAGGTTCCAAAGACCCAAGGTGTCCTAAACCCACTACTCCAGCTCCTCCCTGCTTCCCAGGTTCCACTGACCCAAGATGTCCTAAACCCATTACTCGAGCTCCTCCTCCTCCCTGCATCCCAGGTTCCTCTGACCCAAGATGTCCTAAATCCATTACTCCAGTTTTCCCCCCCTGCTTCCCAGGTTCCACTGACCCAAGATGTCCTAAACCCACTACTAAAGCTCCTCGTCGCTGCTTCCCAGGTTCCACTGACCCAAGATGTCTTAAACCCACTACTCCAGCTCCTCCCTGCATCCCAGGTTCCACTGACCCAAAATGTCCCAATCCCACTACCCTCTCTCCCCCTCAGTGTTTCGTTGGATCTGTTGATCCTCGGTGTCCCAGACCATCCACACCTTCACCTCGCTGCTTCCCGGGAAGTATTGATCCAAAGTGTATCAAGCTTACTTCTCCTCGCCCAACCTTACCGTCGACGACTGTTTGCTACGAAGGTTCCCCAGATCCTCGCTGTCCTCAGCAGTCATCTGGTGGTACCTTAAGTCCAGAGAGTAGTGTCACTCCTGGGTCAATATTGAAGCCTACATCTAGGCCAACATTCAAGCCGGCCTCTAGACCTAAAATACCTCCTCTAAGGCCTACTCCAGGTACATTTAGACCCGCATCTAGCAGCCCCCGTCCTATTCCCTTACCACAGCCAAGTCTCAAGCCATTCACTAAATCAAGTGTACGACTTACCACATTCCAACCTGACCTCAAGCCTAGAGGTGGCTTTGCATTGTTCCCTGTTACACAAACTACTCCCCGCCCCACCACTACTCCCCGCCCCACTAGCACACCCTCCTTCACTAGCGGTGCGCCGGATCAGCAGAGACCGTCTCGTCCAAGGACAACTGTTAGTCCACCAGTCCTTAAATCCAAGCTTACTCCATCGAAAAGGCCCAACCAGGGTAAACAGCTGGATGGAACGGCAACACAGCCTAAACCTGAGCCATCTGGAAAAGAATGGGAGGGCGAATCTCGTTATCATGCCTTCCATAGTTTCCACTTCCAACGGGGCGATGGGCGCAGAAGTCGTGTCTTTGGCTCTCGGCTCACCAGAGCGGCTGAAGAAGCCTCTCCATTGTCCGAGTCTGTTCGATCTCCCGCTGGAACACAGCCGGGTAAGAGGCCACTCATTGAGAAGGTTCCTATACGTCTCTCTCGGTCGGTCTCTGTCGTAGCACCTAGTGATCTTCCCGCCAGTCCTGACACACACTTACCAACTGCTGCGGCACAAACGGCAGTTGCCCCTATTTACCACGACCCCTTTGGGACGGTATGCTTCCCCATGACCATCTTTGCTCCCTCCATGCTAGCCGTCGTCTTTGTTCTCCTGTTGTCCTCTACCGCAGCCTTGGTGCTCTATGTTCGGCAGCGAGGATCTTGCAAAGATAAGATCTGGTACTATGATTAATCCTGCCTCACAAGCGCATACTAAGGCTCCACTACTAATTTTTGATACCTATTAGTGCTTGTGTACAGGATTTGACCTCGTGACAAATGTTGCTGTAATTAACTTTAAAATTAAATTTTTAAATTAAAATTCTTTGCTTGTATAGCATTGCGATTCAGATTATATATATATATATATATATATATATATATATATATATATATATATATATATATATATATATATATATATATATATATACATATACATATATATATATATATATATATATATATATATATATATATATATATATATATATATATTATAACAGAATTTGACTAGTCCAAATACCTTGTAAGATATCGGTGTAAAGTACTGTAGTGATTAGTTGATTTAGAAGTTCTTTGTCACTAGTTTATTTTTATTCTTTGCTTGTTGATGTTTACAATATAAGTTGTGTTGCCCTGGCGGTAAATCAATTATCTCAAACTAGAGAACAAATTTTTTTGGCGAATTTGGTTGATTCTTGACTCACAGATTAGTTGCGTTATCACACTCTCCTTGCCTCTCTATGTTGCTTTGTTTTATCTTATGGTTTCTTTATATACATATATATAATATTTATATTGCATTTCAACACATTTCTTTGCGTTTCTTCGTAACTATAATGTATCTGTATGACTGCTGGTAAGCACCTCGGCCCCCACGATCTCTACACACTGAACCTAAACCGACAACAACAGACATATATATATATATACGGTGACACCCCCTTCTCTTACTTTTGTTTCACGCTACAGGTAAGTTTGACTTTATTTTACAAATAATTTCTTTTTATTTTATATATGCTATATATATACCTTAAACAGACTCTTCAAGAGATGAGACATGATGCACAGACGAGAGAGAGAGAGAGAGACGCAAATTTTGACAGTATCCCATCACACAGTTACGTGCGGGCCAAGTCAGGCCAGACTTCCTACACCTTTGTGATCCCCATGACGGGCTGTGGCACCAGGACCTTCGACAACGTCGACGACAACGGCAGCACGAGTTTTGAGAACATGATTATGATCCAGAATGAAGAGTTCGTGCAGGAAATGTGGGACACGGCGCGCAAGATCACCTGCGACTGGGCGACTAGGATGGAAAAGCTCATTACTTTCCGACCCTTTGCTGTCGACATGCTGCAGGCCACAGAAGTGCGGTACTCAGGCGACGATATCATGTGCTGGATGGACATTCAACTTGGGAAGGGACCCTTTGCCCATACTCTCGATGGTATCGTTCAAATTGGCGAAGAACTTGCAATCGTGATTTACACTAAGGATGGAGGATCGGAATTTGACATGCTGGTTAAGAACTGTATGGCTTATGATTCTGAAGATGTCAACGATGAGAGGACCACGCGACTTCAGCTGAGTGACGAGCGAGGGTGTCTCCTTCGGCCAAAGCTGATTACTTACTTCATTCGGACCATTGACACAGGAGCGACAGGAGCCGACATGATAGCGTTTGCCTCGCTCTATGCGTTTAAGTTCCCAGATAAGATGGATGTATATCTGTCTTGTGAAGTAGAGTTGTGCAAGGGGGAGTGTACGGACATATGTGACGAACCAGGATATCCCTCAATAAGAGTAAACATAAATGAGACCACCACTACCACCAGCACTACGACTACTCGCCCACCTCCAGACAATACATGTCTGATAGCACCTGGTTCATCTCAGTGCTGTGCTAGGAATCCTAATCATCCACAATGTACAACAACTACCACAGAAAGGCCAGATCCTTGCATCGGGAGTCCAGGATCCTTCCAGTGCTGTGCTAAGAATCCTAATCATCCACAATGTACTACAACTACTTCAACTACCACAGAAAGACCGGATCCTTGTATCAGAAGTCCAGGATCTTTCCAGTGCTGTGCTAGGAATCCTAATCATCCACAATGTACTACAACTACCACAGAAAGACCAGATCCTTGTATCAGAAGTCCAGGATCCTTCCAGTGCTGTGCTAAGAATCCTAATCATCCACAATGTACTACAACTACTTCAACTACCACAGAAAGACCAGATCCTTGTATCAGAAGTCCAGGATCCTTCCAGTGCTGTGCTAGGAATCCAAATCATCCTCAATGTACTACAACTACCACAGAAAGACCGGATCCTTGCATCAGGAGTCCAGGATCCTTCCAGTGCTGTGCTAGGAATCCAAATCATCCTCAATGTACTACAACTACTTCAACTACCACAGAAAGACCGGATCCTTGTATCAGAAGTCCAGGATCCTTCCAGTGCTGTGCTAGGAATCCTAATCATCCTCAATGTACTACAACTACTTCAACTACCACAGAAAGACCGGATCCTTGTATCAGAAGTCCAGGATCCTTCCAGTGCTGTGCTAGGAATCCTAATCATCCACAATGTACTACAACTACTACAACTACCACAGAAAGACCAGATCCTTGTATCAGAAGTCCAGGATCCTTCCAGTGCTGTGCTAGGAATCCTAATCATCCTCAATGTACTACAACTACCACAGAAAGACCGGATCCATGCATCAGGAGTCCAGGATCCTTCCAGTGCTGTGCTAGGAATCCTAATCATCCTCAATGTACTACAACTACCACAGAAAGACCAGATCCTTGCATCAGGAGTCCAGGATCCTTCCAGTGCTGTGCTAGGAATCCTAATCATCCTCAATGTACTACAACTACCACAGAAAGACCGGATCCTTGCATCAGAAGTCCAGGATCCTTCCAGTGCTGTGCTAGGAATCCTAATCATCCTCAATGTACTACAACTACTTCAACTACCACAGAAAGACCAGATCCTTGCATCAGAAGTCCAGGATCCTTCCAGTGCTGTGCTAGGAATCCTAATCATCCACAATGTACTACAACTACTTCAACTACCACAGAAAGACCGAATCCTTGCATCAGAAGTCCAGGATCCTTCCAGTGCTGTGCTAGGAATCCTAATCATCCACAATGTACTACAACTACCACAGAAAGACCGGATCCTTGTATCAGAAGTCCAGGATCCTTCCAGTGCTGTGCTAGGAATCCTAATCATCCTCAATGTACTACAACTACCACAGAAAGACCGGATCCTTGTATCAGAAGTCCAGGATCCTTCCAGTGCTGTGCTAGGAATCCTAATCATCCTCAATGTACTACAACTACCACAGAAAGACCGGATCCTTGCATCAGGAGTCCAGGATCCTTCCAGTGCTGTGCTAGAAATCCTAATCATCCTCAATGTACTACAACTACTACAACTACCACAGAAAGACCAGATCCTTGTATCAGGAGTCCAGGATCCTTCCAGTGCTGTGCTAGAAATCCTAATCATCCTCAATGTACTACAACTACTTCAACTACCACAGAAAGACCAGATCCTTGCATCAGAAGTCCAGGATCCTTCCAGTGCTGTGCCAGAAATCCTAATCATCCACAATGTACTACAACTACTTCAACTACCACAGAAAGACCGAATCCTTGCATCAGGAGTCCAGGATCCTTCCAGTGCTGTGCTAGGAATCCAAATCATCCTCAATGTACTACAACTACCACAGAAAGACCAGATCCTTGTATCAGAAGTCCAGGATCCTTCCAGTGCTGTGCTAGGAATCCTAATCATCCTCAATGTACTACAACTACCACAGAAAGACCGGATCCTTGTATCAGAAGTCCAGGATCCTTCCAGTGCTGTGCTAGGAATCCTAATCATCCACAATGTACTACAACTACTTCAACTACCACAGAAAGACCGGATCCTTGCATCAGAAGTCCAGGATCCTTCCAGTGCTGTGCTAGGAATCCTAATCATCCACAATGTACTACAACTACTTCAACTACCACAGAAAGACCGGATCCTTGTATCAGAAGTCCAGGATCCTTCCAGTGCTGTGCTAGAAATCCTAATCATCCACAATGTACTACCACTACCACAGAGAGACCAGATCCTTGTATCAGGAACCCAGGGTCTTCTGAATGTTGTGCTATACAACCGAAACATCGAGGGTGTGTCACAGAAGTACCTTGCTCTGGCCCTAGAGATACGAGACCACACTGTACAACCACATCACAACCACCAAGTACAACCCAAAACCTGGAAAACCACGCCTTCCACGCCTGGTTAAACCGACCCCCAAGTGGACCTCGTCGTCGACGTCCGCCTTACGGTACCCGACTCAGTCCTGAACTACTGGCGGAGCTACGAAACCAACCCCGACACCGGCGCGACGCGAACCTCCCTCTTCCTCCTCCTCCTCCTGCCAAGACTACGGTCTCCATCATGCGAGGTTTCCGTGTTGTGGGGGCTAATGACCTGACCTTCTCGACTATATCTTCGTCTCGGCAGGCTACCTTGCAAGCCGACAGCGTTTGTATACCTAAGGGCACCTTCACCTTCGGTGTGTTCATGCTGTCTTCGTTGCTCATCACTGCAGTCCTGGTGGCTACCGTAACGTGCCTCAGGCTGAGAACTTCGGCGCCCTATAAATCCGTGGAGACAGCGATGCCATACAGCAGACAGTAAACTACTACTACTACCTACCCTGACCTGACCTCTCTAACCTCCTCCCAATCCCGGCTGCTGGATTCAGCCGTGAATGGGGTGGGCACTTAGTGCCCCCTGGCGACCCCTGCCCGCCTGGCTGTTGCTGGCACTATCCTGGTGGACTAAGGTCGCCGCCTTTACTTTGCTCTGAACGCGGCATTTGGACGGCCACCTCCCAGCCCGCTCGAGAACCACTCATAGCCTCACAACGGCCTCCATATTGAGAATGCATAAAAACTACTAATTTTGATCATCTTTTGTTTCAGTCGGTCAGCTCAGTCAATTGTTTGTGTGATTATACCTAATCACTCAAACACATAATCACACATTGTGTTTGTGTGATTATAACTACGTGATATATGCTAGTTAGGGCTACTTGTCAGAGTTAAATTAATGTAATTTTGTTTATGCCGAGAGCTGAACTTCGTAAGTGCTACAGAAGTGTGGTTCAATCACTTTGCTGCTACAAGAGACACTGTGTGACGCTATGACAACTTCTAGACTAAAAAGGTTTTCCCGCTTCGTGGATGTGGTGCCAGGTCCAGGCGACTCCATGCTCCCTTGTGCAAACATTGCTATTTCTGCTTTTGTAAACCTTCTGAATTATTAAACTTTGATGCCAAATAAAGTGTATGATAACCCTTCCAATTTCACCATTTGCTAAACAATTTAAAAAGGAAAACAAATATATATGAATAACGTTTGTAACTATCAACTAAATGCTAATGAAAATGGGACTATCGACCAAGTAACAAAATATAAAAAGCACTGAACAGGATGTAAAGTACCGTACGTAGTTTAATAACCAAGATGGCATACCATCAGTAGTAGTAGTAGAACTAAAGAATCTAATCAAATTTCATCTTAAATAATAATAATAATACATAAAACCATATAAATATTTTTCTATGTAAACTTTATATTCTAGTATTTAAATAGATGCTTGAAACACGGAGACTAAATCCTAAAACATTTCTCTATGTCAACAGATTAAACAAATAAAAATGAATCAATGCCAAAAAAATATATATATTTCTATACATACAAAACATTAAAAAAGGGAGACATGAGCCATATAACTAAAATAACATAAAGAACACGTAGTCACCAAAAAATAAACCTATTACAAAACTCCACCAAACTGTAAACTACATAATCATCAGTAGTGATATACACAGAAATGTGCCATATATAACTTACATGTCAGCTTCAGTAATTACTGAAGCTTGTAGTGTGTGTGTGTATGTGTGTGTGTGTGTGAGAGAGTGTGTGTGTAGTTGTACCATGTGGGCCAAGCAGCAGAGACCATAGAGACGCAGCCTGTCACCCTCATCCTGGATCAAGCTTCAGGTAAGTGCAGCAGATATCCAACTTACCTGCAGTAAGTTGGATATCACAATGTTTCCCCATATTTTTTTCCAGGCCGGAGTTTGAAGCATGATAAGAACACTGAAATTTATTTATATCTGTCTGTTTACCAGAATTTACAAAAAAAAATCAAATAAATGCATAACAGATTTGTTTAAAAACAACTATGCTAATTTACTTGTTGGTTGAAGAGTAAGTGATATTATTTTAAGTACTGCACAGGCAACGACCTGCGTATCTAACCCGAATGGAAAAAATATATAAAGTGTAATGATGTTAAACAAAATCATTCTGATAACGAGATGCGATACAACTTATAATGAAGCAAATTACTAATATCAGAGTATGACTCTTAGAAAGACTACTGTGTAGCATTAACTTGCTTCTATACTTACAAGTAAACTCTTTCTTTGGACAACCAGTGAGTCGTCGAGGATCAAACGAAGACGAGCGAGCCATGTGTATATGACCAGATGGGGTACCCGGTGATGCCCAGGCCGACCCGGTGGAGCCCAGGTCGACCCGGTGATGCCCAGATCGACCCGGGGATGCCCAGGTCGACCCGTTGGTGACCAGGTCGATCCGGTGATGCCCAGGTCCACCCGGTGGTGACCAGGTCAACCCGGTGATGCCCAGGTTATCCGGTGGTGACCAGGTCCACCCGGTGATGCCCAGGTCCACCCGCTGATGACCAGGTCGAGCCGGTGATGCCCAGGTCCACCCGGTGGTGACCAGGTCCACCCGGTGGTGACCAGGTCCACCCGGTGGTGACCAGGTCCACCCGGTGGTGACCAGGTCCACCCGGTGGTGACCAGGTCCACCCGGTGGTGACCAGGTCCACCCGGTGATGCCCAGGTCCACCCGCTGATGACCAGGTCGAGCCGGTGATGCCCAGGTCCACCCGGTGATGCCCAGGTCCACCCGGTGGTGACCAGGTCCACCCGGTGGGGCCCAGGTCAACCCGGTGGGGCCAGGTCAACCCGGTGGGGCCCAGGTTGACCCGGTGGTGCCCAGGTCTCCTCAACCCGTCCTCCTAAGACCCCGTCGCATTTCCACGTATACTTTACCTAAGACCACAAAAACTGATGTAAATAAAATGATTGCGATTCGCGAAATTGACATAATATCCCGTTTTCTGTTCATGGGTCCTCTGGTAGGCTAGGATAAAGGCACTTTAATACGGCAGTTTATTGACGTTGGGAACGCTGGCGAGAACAGGCTGCCCCTGCACACACTCTCTCAGGTCTCTCCTACACTCAAACATCCATTTCAGATATTTAGATATTAAAACATTTATAGATATTGGACGTCTTGTTCCTAGCGCTTCCAGACATAAATCCCAAACTATTTGTCCCCCTTTCCGTACATTTAAGCATTTATTTTTGGGCATAAGATTTCAATTAATCATGATTTTTTTCTTTTTTTGCATTCAAATTACACAATTTCAACATTGTCCAGCAGATATCTGGAACTCTATTATTATTTCCTAGGCATAGAACCTTCATTTTTTTCTGCATTAAACTGCATCTGCCAATCATTCCTGTATTTTCAAAGTTCGTCTAGATCGTCTTCAAGAGATTTTTGCCTTCCGAATTTATTTTCAGCCCTATTTTTGTAACTATTTTCAGTCCTATTTTTGTAGTTGAATTTATTTCACAAACACGAATCTTTAACCGGACTTCCCAGTCAGAGCTGATGGGCCATAGTCGCCGAGGCTCTACTTATGTGAGCAACACATTCACTTATCTTCCCGTCACACCACTCTAAAATAACTATACTAGTAGGTATACCCGGCTGAGCCCGGGTCTCGGTCTCTCTCTGTCTCTATGTCTCTCCCTCCCTCCCTCTCATTTTCCCTTCATTCGATTCTCCCTCCCTCTAGTTAATTTAGTGAATATCTAATTTTTTTTTATTAATACATTAGGTACATCTGCATTAGTGCAGCTACCCTAGACTATATGAAGTGGAGTACAGTGTGTCAAAAAAGCTAACTAGGTGATGCTAAAAAAATCCCCATCACACAGGATGGTTAGTCATACAGAGGCATGTGATAGGCAGTCTGCACTGGCAGACTCCGGATGCATTTTGAGGATATCAACACATCTAAATTCAGTTTTTGTTTACTGTTGCTAAAATCTATGGACTCTGGTCAGAACATTTCACATTGACAGACTTCGCGAAGGAGAGGAATTAATTAAGGCTGTGATCCCTTTCTGTAGGGCAATGGGCCGACACCGGCCTCCCCGTATGATGCTCTTGACTAAAGGAGCCTTAAACCTGCACAAGTTAATGAGGTTATACCCAAGCGTCTGGCCTCCAGTTATGGAGAAACGAACAGACAGACATTCTCTCTCTCTTATAGATAAGCGAAATAATAATAATAGGGAATTATCAATTGCAAGCACCAAGCCATTACGACTATATAGCACTCGGAAGAGTCAGGATAAGTATTGGAATAATAATAATGTTATTAATTCATTGTGTCAGGGGACAGGCAGCCAGAGCTTATTTATACACGTCCCCTTTTCCCCCAGGGTCAGACCCCCGCCCAGGATGCAACCCCACAACCAGCTGACTCAACTCCCGAGTACCTAGACTTACTGCTAGGTGAACAGAGGGAATTCGGTGATAGGAAATGCGCCCAGCCATTTCTGCCCGGCCCCGGGTTTTGAACCCTGGAATTCTCGATTTTGAGTCGAGAACGAACCCGACTGTACTACCGGGACCCATTCAAATGGGTAAATTTAATTTCAATGTGGCAGCGAGTCGTCAGTTCTAAGAGCAGCGACCTTCAGTTCACAAGAGAGATTTGAATGGTGCAAAAATGTGATTCATTTTAAAATATGTTACATGTTTATATAAATATCCCTTGTGTAATAATAAATATCACTACATGAATATCATGCACTTTTCGCAAATAAATATGATTCATTTAAGCGACAGAAATTCAAAATATTAGAAAATAAAAAAAAAGATCACCTTAAAATCAGTTATATGCACTGTAATGCCCCGTCACAGGGCGGGCAACTTTCGTCCTAAGAGACGCCTGCGGCGAGTTAACGTAAGTTACTTGTTTTACATGAGTGTGTTCTCCATAGACACGTCCTTCCCAAAATTGGCTGTTGTGCTTGCTTATAAGATAATTGCCGTGGAAACATTCTGTACTATAGTTAAACAGAGACGTATTGCGTATATTATCAAAAAGATAAGATGCCATTTGTTTGATCTCACCATTTGCAAAATCTTTTCCATCTCATGAGATATATATATATATATATAATATATATATATATATATATATATATATATATATATATATATATATATATATTATTAGATCGTGTGTGTTCATTAACCGAAGACTTCGTAATCTCTCTCTCTCTCTCTCTCTCTCTCTCTCTCTCTCTCTCTCTCTCTCTCTCTCTCTCTCTCTCTCTCTCTCTCTCTCTCTCTCTCTCTCTCTCTCATTTCCCCACTTTTTTCCTCCTCCCCCCCCCCGCCATTTTCCCCCTCTCACCATCCATTCTCCCTCTTCCCGATAATTATCCATCCATCCCACCCCCTGTCCTCCAATAGTATTCCCACCGTCCGTCTTCTGATACTACACTTCTCTTCTATCTATCCCATATCTCCCACCCAACCCTGTTGTTACGACTAGTGGAGAGGCTTCCAGGCTTCCAGGCCTCCAGGACTCTGGAACAGCCAATGTGGGACGTTGTCAGACTCACACTCACACCTGCTGCCCCAGACGTTACCAGAGTCATACTCTCACATACTGCTCCAGACGCTCCAGCAGCCACACTCATACTGCTCCATACGCTCACGGAGCCACACTCATACTGCTCCATACGCTCACGGAGCCACACTCATACTGCTCCAGACGCTCCCGGAGCCACACTCATACTGCTCCAGACGCTCCCGGAGCCACACTCACACATACTGCTCCAGACGCTCACGGAGCCACACTCATACTGCTCCAGACGCTCCCGGAGCCACACTCATACTGCTCCAGACGCTCCCGGAGCCACACTCACACATACTGCTCCAGACGCTCACGGAGCCACACTCATACTGCTCCAGACGCTCCAGGAGCCACACTCATACTGCTCCAGACGCTCACGGAGCCACAC